TCTTTAACTGAACACCGGAATCCCCTCCCCCCCCCACACACACACACGACAGTTCGACCGTCGATTTTGACGATATCTACTAAGAACTTCAACGCGAGATATACAGTGAAAGTAGACTCGCAGACAATCAATCCCACTCTCTTACCACTCCCGCACCGGGACCCGGTGTCAAGACAAAGTCAAGAAGGCCGGAAATGCGGGATGGCGCAGATGGCTGGCGCGACCAAAACTTAACAAGCTTACCAGCAGCAAGTTTCTCTAGGTAGGTTCCCGACTAAGAGCGCCATAAAGGACTCATTAAGAAGAAGCCATTGAATCTGACTCTCAGCTCGCAGAAAGCCACCACACACAACAAGACACACTAGGTTTCCAAGTTATCCCCTCAGTTGGCAACCGTACAATCCACGGCTTTTAGCGCACCGTGATAACCTCAAGCGCATCAGACTGCTTATAGTGAGAAAATAAATACGCTGAGGGTTGACCTCACTCTCTCCCGCACCGCCAGCAACAGAGCACCACCTAGCTAACCTGTCACCTGAGGTTTGGATGGGCGCAGCGTTGAAAAAGAAAACCGATCAGAGATGGGCATGGTAGAGCAGATTGTGCAAGAAGAGAGGTGAGGAGGAAGAGAACGATGGAAGGAGAGAGAGCGAGAAAGAAGTACTGAAGAAAGAAAGAAAAGCGAGGGAGAAGACAAGAAAGAGAACGAAAACGAGATCCAACTGAAGGTTTCCAAACTACTTACTGCATACATGCTAACGAAACCCACACTTACGCCTTGACTCTGAGGAAGAGAATTCATAGCTTTCGCGAAATTGCGTAATTATTGTGGAATATGTTGCACATTTTAGGGGCAACATTGATAATGCCTAGGAGGGGTTTGGTAGACTTGAGTAATTCAGTTAACGCATTTATAATAAAGTTTAGCAGCCTGGGTGGGATATGAAGCCAGGGCAGGATGTGGAAGGCTTTAGTGCAACCAACGCTCTGAGCCGCCGTATTTTTCCCACTTGCGTCAATTGCATCAACATTAATAAATTGACAGGTTAGATTTTTTATGAAAAAACTCTTGAGAGTCGTAGAAATCGCATTAGTCGGTGTACTATGTTTTAGCTTGTGAGCACTGCACGGAAACCGGTATGTGCTTTAGAATGCAAAAGTAGACGAACGGGCTCGCAACTAAGAAATGTAACATCCACCCACACATAGATACACGTGCAGAGAAAAAAAGGAGTCTAATCACGAGGAAATGTTTGTGTGAGCGAGGGTGTATGCGTATGTTTCAGCCTAGTGGGTCCGCACATCCGTTTTCCTGTTTTCACCCACAACGATACCATTAACGATACCAAAGTGTGAATCTACGTGTAAGCTAATCGAAGGCTTTTTTATGTGTCATGTTGCCTTCCGTGTGTTGCGTGTCGTCTTAGTTTCAGGCTAGTATACGGAGGACTACCATGACCGTTACTTTATGTTCGTTATTTCAAATTGGTTGAAGTGCAAAGAGTGGCATGTCCATGTTGAAGTCGTAGTAAGTGTAGCGCAGATGCGCAATGGTGTGGCGCTGTTTGCCTATCTTTGGTTTTGTGCAAGGTTAAACTAGAGTTTGTGAGTATTTTTCGCGATGTAATTTTCTGGTAGGTTTGAAGATTGCGTTTGTAGCAGAATTTAATGGAACCATAAATTTCGCGAGCGCTCATCAGCTCATCCATTAAATTGTGCTGCATACGCAATCTTCAAAGTTGTTCCTGGGAAAAGATGCTTCAAATTTCTGGTAGGTGTTTCGCCTTCTTGACTTCTCCGACTGTATCCAGCAGCCACGCGCACGTCAAAACCAGTGATAACAACTGTCAAGGTGGTACGGTACTATTAAGCCACGGCAAGAAACATCTGGATTCGTTGACCGGATCTGGTGAAGTTGCGGACAAAGCAACCATGTCGGAGAAACTGGCAGGCTTCTCAAGACGCGAATTACCGAGCAGTGCGGCGGAATGATGCCAATTCTCAAGTTGCGACTCAC